AACCTATACTCAGGTGTGTACGTAGATTTGGCTATTGTGCCAGATCCAAAGTGTTCTTATTGTCTACGATGTCAATGACGATAAAGATTCTCTATTATTTTCTCCTCAGGTCGTAGCAGATTTGCCGATGTCAAGGCCAAAGATCCCACCTCGATTGCTCCAGAATGGTATGTCCTGCGTACTCATCTTCCACCTACGATTGTCGTTTTCACAATTAACTGCCAGTATATCACAGTGAATCTTACTCTTGGAAAGGCTCGTATACCAGACCGTCGATAGATGCTATATGTGTACAGGAAACCTCCCGTGGGTGTTCCGCGCATCAGTATCACTCTCTTCTTGTAGTTGATTTATACTAGTTCGTTTAGATTGCAATACCTAAGCACAGGATATGGTCTGTACGCTTGTTTTTACTTATATAGTTCGCTTGAAACAATCACCGCTTAAACAGGCACCGTTGGTTGCATTACATGACCGACGACCCGCCTTCACAGAGCCCCGTGTGGCATCCCAAGTGGGAGAGTTCTCCCAAGAAATGGGCCGCTGGGACTGGCTCCAAAAACGAGTACGTGCCCTTCCGCACCACAGCGAAGAAAGTGCACGAGTGGGATCCTAATGCCTCCACATAGTCAGTAAATCCTCTCTTCCCGTTGTGATTGGACCACACCATCAGTTATCTTCGTCCTCCTCCTGGATGAGCTTAAAGCCGCAATGTACGTTTGCAGATTCGCTTGGAGTTAAAGTGTCGCTAATTTTGACAGTTCTTGTTCAATTCTTCGTCGGAAAGTTTTTTAAAATCATATATATATATATATATATATTCTACTAAGGCGTGTATAGTGAATGCTGCGTAGCTGCGAAGTATGAATATATCCAGCAACCAAATTTGGTCGGTTTCCGTGATATATTAAGCTGCTTATGTGATTTCAATACTTACCTGTCAACGTCCGTCAGCCATCTGCTCGAGATCGTTCGTGATTGTTTCTGTTTTTCTTTTTCTTTTTGTTTATACTTGGCTACATAATTAGTTCTGCGTCTCTACTGTACTTTTGTGGGATTTCGACCTCATTTGTTGTCTTTTTTTTCTTTTAAACATATAGTGGAAGTGAAATTCGCAAATTGTCATCCGGTATACAGACAGTTTGTCGAAGTTTGAATCATATATCTTATATGTTGTTTGGTAGACTCGCGATTCATAGACCTCGCATTCCGAATCAGTAGTTATCTGTATACGTGTACTCAACTCACCATCGACCTCGCAGCGTTTTGATTAGCCATTGTCAATAATTGAGAGAGAGAGAAAACCCGGACACTAGTATTAGTAAATTGTAGTATAGTTTTTTGGTAAGACTAAGGTTTCAACACCGGCTGCTGTACGAAAGGTGTGCACCAAAGTATCCAACAGTAACTATTGAAATTATATAGGCGCGTTCCATCTGTTTAAGGCAACCACTACCTACATTGAAGATAACTGCTGAGGTACACAAATGCACGCGGTCGAAAATGACCACGAGAGTAATCTGTACATACACTCCTACTTAATTGCTGAAGATGTTGAATGGCCGAACTCGGACAACGAAGTCCCTCTAAACTATTTAACATGTACCATATTGTCCACCCTATTTCACCCGTGATACCTTTAATTTTAGCGCCTTATCGAAAAAAATATATGTTCATCTAGATTCTAGGCGAAATGAACGGGTGTGTAAACATTGCACGGGTACAAAAAAAGTAGCATACATTTCTCTCACGGCTATGAGTTCCAGACGCAGATCAACAAGCAACGCGACGCATTTTATGAAAGCGAGAGCACGGTGATCAGAATACAACCCTTAATCCTTGATTGGGTGAATCGTATCTAATATGTTGGTATTAAAACGCGAGTGAGTCACTTGTTGCTCCGATTAAACTTCGCATCTGGCTTTCAGTATATAAGACAGCCGCCACAACCCTAAAATTGTTGCAGCACAAGTGGAAGACATCGATCGTCATCGAAGCGAGCAAGAAATATACAATATTTACCATCTTCAATCGATATATGTATAAACCTGTATAATTCCTCACATACGCATACGGCACTGCTGAGTCAATAAATTCTGCTATATTCATCAACACATAAGCAAGTCTGCGCCTGTACACGTTCCCACACATTACACGATACTATTCTGAAGTAAGTTTTGCTGTGATTATTCTGTGGTGTGGGCGCATACGGCAAAGTGGCCTGATGCAAAATAATGTATATATTCTTGTACTTAGTAATTATAAAGTATATATGTGCATCACGATGAACATGCTTTCGAACCTCATTGTTTTATTGGCATAAAAACAACAACAAACCCCCGCCGGAATCTTTCCTAGCATCTCAAATGTTTATGGTTGCTACACTGCGATAGTCAGGCAACCCCCTAAAAAGACTTTTAGCTATATTATGTATTCACCATGTACATAACTATGTATAGCCGGTGGCCCGGTACCATTCCTCCTCTTACCAGTCGTGTATAAAAGTATCTTGAACTATCTTCTACCTTATATGAGTGGGATATCGTTAAAAACCCAAGTAGAATGGATCACATGCAAATAAAAACTATTTCCCCTCGAATAGGGTGACGTACTATTAACTGCACATCGTACAGAGTATATTGCTTTTTCAAACAACCAGCTAGACAAATTCCAAAATATGCTGTATGATGCTTGTATTGATATTATGAGTTGATTCTCACTCTGCTGCTGGGGAAGCTCAAATAAATATTTGCTTGGAAACTGTCTAAACTGTCAAGTAAATACATACTTCTACACTATACATACTCTGCCTCTCTACTAGCCCTCTACTGATGTGTGGGCAATTTAAGAGCAAATGTCGTAGATAACTTTGGCCTTATATCGGAGGCTGTATTAACTATTATTTTATTAATATTATTACTAAATTGAACCACCCACGGGCCACTGTCCACTCGTGTTCATCAATCATCACCACACACATCTCATAAGAAGAGATCTCACTGATTGTTGCACTCCTGGAGTCTGGAGTTGATAATTTGGATTGTTTCCATAAAAAGACCAGCTATAATACTGAATACTCCTTAGTTTTAGACAATACCATAATGTTTTAAATAGGATCGTCAATGAGGTCCTAAAATAGCTCTCCGTTAGTTATAGTTTATACATAACAAACGTCTATTTGTATTTTACCACCTATTTGCACATTTATTTTTATTTTTTAAGGGTTGTAGTTTGTAGTTTGTACACAATGTCAAACAATCATCAAACTTTTTTGAAAAGGGGTCTTATTTTCTCTCACTATGGTGATGATAAGTGAAAACAACAAATGTATTCGTTTCAACTCATATATACATATATATATATATTGTGTACACACTGTAGACACACATACACAAACCATCTATATATAACTTAGCACAATGACCCTCAGCGTCCCGAAAACCGTTAATAAGATCTGCTGCATCGGCGCTGGCTATGTCGGTGGTCCAACTATGGCAGTTATTGCCCTGAAGGCGCCCCACGTGCAAGTCACTGTTGTAGATCTCAATCAGGTAGGTACGACGATATAATATTCGAAAGCGTTCAGACTCGACATTCACTTGTTCAGGGTCATCTATCTCAAATTGGCCCTCAGAACTGAAAATATTTAAAGTTTGACAGTTGGATCGCTTCATGTACGGAGTAGTTAGTTCGTCGTAGTGTGGAGTTTCGTTATTTACAATAAACTAGCGCGTAATAAGTGTTCGCTTTGCAGTATGACTATTAGCAGTTAAGTACGAGACGCTCGCCAAATATCTGCAATTTTATGCGCTGGTACGAAAGAATTGGGTCGATTCTAGCTTATCAAAGTTTCTGCGCATTGCAGAAACTATCATAGTTATTATTTTTCGTCACACCCACCACCACCTACAATATCACAACCGCGCGCTATTCCTAGCTTGTTGGGAGCTGATAGAACGGCTTTTATTATGTTTTACCTGTGTTGAGATTCAATACCTTCCGGAAACATTCTAAATATTACTACACCCCGTTATCTTTGCGATGGCCACCCATATTCTAAACAAACAGAAGGCTCATTTTCTCTTTTGTTTTCATGGGTACAGCTAAGGTTTCATTTTGCTGTATCTCATATCAAACTATTCCTTGTGTTTAGAAGCAAATCACAACAGCCATGAAGTATCCTAGTTGTGACGTACGTAGGCCTAGGAGACGCAACTATGCTATCCAGTCTTCTTAAGAAAATATGCGTATACTGTATACACATATCATTGGCTCTCGTATACTAGTTTATTTCAATACCAATCGCAGACTTCATTTACAGTTATACATCGACTGCTATTATTGCTTATACTTATTCTAATTTCAAGCTATTTACGGTAGTCCGATTCTTGTCCTTGTCCGTACTTCCTCCAATGCTTTCACAGTCTCGTATTGATGCCTGGAACAGCGATACGCTGCCTATCTACGAGCCTGGACTATTCGAGGTGGTCAAAGAGCGCCGGGGAAAGAATCTATTTTTCACTACTGAAATCGACACAGCCATCCTAGAAGCAGATCTGATATTTGTCTCTGTAAACACCCCTACAAAGGTAATCATATATCCAGCTATCGCCCACGTTGCATGCCTGTATATAGACTACGCTTTGTGATGTTGTCTAGTTGTCACATATGGGGAAACAAACGCGTGCGAAATTATGACTTGCATGTATGGCGTTGTGTTGGTGGTTGATATTAATACACATATGCGGGGGACGATTCAGTTCCAACATGAGCCCGCCCTCGCCTATCAAACGAACTCAGCACAATTGTAATAGGTTTGGGATTGAGGCTGATATGTTATTAAGATCTGACACGCACTTGTGTCGTCACTATTGTGTTACTGCGTCCATACATAGTAGCCGGTTTATCTGATGTGGGAACGATCCCGGATTTAACGCCCGCATATGCATCCTTGTACGGTGTAGGAAATTCCTACTGGTTAGCTTACGTCGAAACTTATGCCAGAGTAGCAGACAAGCAAGCTGTACATTTCTTCTGTAGACAGATCCCATGCTAGCGCATATGTATATATACTCATACATGTTACAAACCATCTAAATACATGTATTTGTGAGAACGAATATATGTCAGTACAATTATATGTGATGCTGTAGACCATATAATTACTTGTATAGATATATATATACTAGGCTGTTCGCAGATGATGCTCCGTCCTACATTCTGTAAAAGAAATTAATGTGTCAGTTGAGTTATCAATCACACTACTGTTAAAGTTCTGTAAATTTCTGTAATCACAGTCAGTCCAAAGTATATGTTTAGTATAGTATAGATGACCGTGTTCAAATAGTCGATCCAATCACCTGACTTAACACGCACTAATATCCGATTTGTAGACATTTGGAATGGGTAAGGGATCCGCTGCTGATCTGAAGTATCTAGAGTCGGCCGCACGTCGCATTGCAGCCGTTTCTAAGAGCTCAAAGATTGTCGTTGAGAAGTCTACAGTACCCGTTAAGTCCGGCGAAGCCATCCGCACTATCTTGCAGGCCAACACAACCCCTGGAGTCGCGTATACGATCCTGTCGAACCCTGAGGTGAGGAATATATCCAATATTTGTCGTCTTTGTGCAACTATTCACCGACCCTCGCACTATATGTGTAGTATCAACGGATTATCATCAGACCCTCATCGTATACCCTGTATAGTACTATGCGAAACAAGGGTGTGTTACGAGACGAAATTGTACTTAATTTGTATCCAACCCCCATTACCACAGTTTTTGGCAGAAGGAACCGCCATCCCCGACCTAATGAACCCCGATCGTGTTCTGATTGGTGGAGACGAAGACGAGAACGGTCAGATTGGTGTCCAGGCCCTTTGTGATGTATACGCCAACTGGGTGGATCGCAGCAACATCATCACCACAAACACTTGGTCGTCTGAGTTATCCAAATTGACTGCCAATGCTTTCTTGGCGCAACGTATCTCGTCGATCAACTCTATCTCGGCGCTGTGTGAGGCCACCGGTGCGGATGTGGACGAAGTTGCCCACGCCATCGGCAGGGATCAGCGTATCGGATCCAAGTTCTTAAAAGCCAGTGTGGGTTTCGGAGGGTCCTGTTTCCAGAAGGATATCCTGAATCTGGTGTACCTGTGCAAAACATACAACTTGCACGAGGTTGCCGCCTACTGGCAACAGGTGGTAGACCTTAATGACTATCAGAAGAGGCGCTTCTCGCTGTCGATTGTGCGCAGTCTATTCAACACCGTCACCGGCAAAAAGATTTGTGTGTTCGGATTTGCCTTCAAGAAGGATACCGGAGATACCCGTGAATCCGCGTCTATTGATGTTATCCAATATCTTATGGACGAGGGTGCGGCCGTTAGCATCTACGATCCACAAGTACCCGATTCACAAATTGACCATGATCTGCTTCCCGTTGGTGTGAGCCCTGAGGCTAGTGACAGAGCGAAGAGTTTATATACCATCACCCACGACCCTTATGAAGCTGCAAAAGATGCACACGCCATTGTTGTCTGCACTGAGTGGGACGAGTTCAAGACCTACGACTACCAGGTGTGTTATTTTGATCATATTGTGTATTCGTGTCATAGCTCAAGTAGTCACTATTCCGATCAATTGCAGTGTGCGTTTCGTGTAACTATATGTGCCCTGCTCATAATATACATTACTGTGCACGCTTGCTACCATGTTTTTCGCTTCAACTCAATGAACAGACCTTATTATTTTGGAAGTGCGAACAAAATACTAGCAAGTGTCGATGTACATTTCTTCTGTTTATGATTCACGCAGTACAACGATACTAACGAGTTTGATAATCTTACAGAAAATCTACGACAGCATGTACAAGCCTGCCTTCCTATTTGATGGCCGCAAAATTCTTGACGTCGAAGAAATGGGAAAGATTGGATATAACGTTTCCGTTATCGGCCGAAAGTTGCATTAAATGCTTTTTTTTTAACCTGTTCGGAGACCAGATCAGATCGTATAATAGAAGTATTTCTATAAAATTAATGATTAATTAAATAAAGCTAGACGTATTTTCTAACACTCTCTTATGCTATCCGCAAACATGGCAAGTAAACCCCTGCATGCTCCAGTATGTGTCGAGGATTTATACGACCCACTGTACATTTCTTACGAATTGTTGATAAAAATCTGCTTCATTTCTACTTTGATAGTAGTTTCCGTCAAAGTTCATTTTTAACACTGAATAGTCCACCCTAATCTACTAGTTGAAATCATGAGCAACTTACAAGCACAGTAGAGTAGTATAATGCGAACCCTTTTGTCTAACAGCACGCAGGGAGGACGAAAGCGAAGATTGTCATGTAGGTTCCGACACATCTTTTGGGTGAGGAATTGAGGATAAGCTTGGCACGGTATGTTACATCATGCGAAAATGACAAATAAGAAAATCGCACATGATTATCGAATATAGAATATTCTTTTGTTGAAGTATTTTTTATTTTTGACAATTCGAGCTTATCGACCTCTATCAGTTTTGTATTTATGGCGTGACGCCTATGTATAAATATTCATCATGTGTGTTGTGTTCTTTTTTCAGAAGCCATGGTTGTTGATGTTGAAAAAATGTTCGATTAAAAAAAAGGGGGGCAGAAAAATGAGACATCTATAAAAGGAGAACAAAACATATTTATTTATGTTTATCGTACACGTAAACCAGGTGCTTTTACTTTCTCAGCGGAATTTCACGGCGCCACAATTAGATTTTTTTTTTTAAAGGTTTGGGTAAAAATATTTTAAAAAAAGCTCAAAACCACTGGTTCAAAAATCGTGTCGGAGGAGAAATAAAAAGTTAAAACTTGGCAGAAATATATGCAAATTCCGCATATCGAATATCGAATATCGGGAATTCGCAGCCCCAAAAAATAGGACACACCAGATTTTGAGTAGGTACAAATATGAACAATTTCTGAAAAATTGACAAAAATAGAATTCTTGAAGGCCGAATTATTGTTGTTTATCCCAGAGTTATTCAGAGTACGACCAACAGACGAATGAGTTGACGAAGACTGTAGAATGCAGAATTGCAGATACTTTTGTTTCGGGGAATAACAGTCAGAGATTGTTGGTGGCACGCAGCGTTTCATAATAACATCTCCAACTAGCATCCGACTATATACTTATATCAGCTGAAATAGTGCTGCTTGCAATAGACAGTAAGTATATAGTTATGGACTATTCAGATGTGGACAGTTGGATTGAGAAGCTCTCGAAATGCGAGCCCCTAACCGAAAATCAGGTTAAAAGCCTGTGCGAAAAGGTACGAAAGTCGAAATATAACCATTTCTGGCAGTGTTTGTGTGTTACACACCGTCATACGCTGTCGTTCCATCTGCATTGAGAGATAAAACTAGTCATTACTTCTCGTCTTATATTTAAATATTGCGTCGATATTACTATATATATATATATATATATATATATATATATCGCATAGTATATCTACAATTTGTAATATGTGAGTGTTGCATCTATAGATCGTTGCCAGCTTAGTTCGTACTTCAGCAATCGGTTCTTCTGTGTTTAGCTAAGCCCAGAGTATTTGAAACAGAAACTGAATATGCTATCTAGACTATCTCTTGCAGTATCCAGTTTTCTTGAAACTTATTCTGATGTCTCATTTCGATACAACTCCTGGTGCTTTGATTCTATATGTATCCTGATTCTATCGCGATATTTAGTCTTGATATCTGTCCTAATATTTCATTGTTTACTTAACAATCTCTACTGCTGTGTAGGCCAAAGAGATCCTATCCGAAGAGTCAAATGTACAACCTGTAAGATGTCCCGTGACTGTGTGTGGAGATGTGCATGGTCAGCTACACGACTTACTCGAGTTGTTTAGAATCGGAGGCAAAAGCCCTGACACAAACTACCTGTTTATGGGTGACTATGTAGATCGTGGTTATTATTCGGTGGAAACAGCCACTCTACTTGTATGCTTAAAAGTCAGACATCAGAACCGGATTACCATCCTGCGTGGAAACCACGAAAGCAGACAGATTACTCAGGTATGCTCTACGCATAGTTTGTTTCGAACTTCAAGTGAGCATAGCGCATTGGATGCGCCTGTATATAGACATATAGATATCATACAGATCCATGCGCAGAGCATAATTCTGTTTATTAATTGGTATATATATGTGAGAGAGAGTGTGTGCATGTATGTATGCAAGTATATAAAGTGTATGTATATATGTATATGTATGAATACACATATATCTGTTTGTGTGTGTATATAAAAATACGTTGAATGCATTTCTATATATCCTGACATATGTGCATTGATTTGTATTTGTAGTTGAAAATAAAGGAGATTGGCATATAAGAGTCTGCAAGCTTCTATAAAATGTCTATATAAGCTTCCATAACATGTCTATATAAGCTTCTATAACAAGTCTGTATAAGCTTTTTAGTATGTCTATCATATGTTTGAAAACGTATATGTATTAGATTACGCTGCATGTTCAACGTCGTTGTCATGCTTCTATCTCTAAACTCGTTACGGGCGCCATTCTTCACAGTTATCTGTATTTTCTTATGAGTGATGCATGTTGAGTCACGGCATGCCCATGCGTGTCGCGTGTTGTTGCCTGTTTGCTTAGCACGGATATAGTGTTTGCCTAACTGTGAATCAGCACGCATATTCACATGTATACTTAGACTCTTACTTGGACCTATATATATATATATAGTTACTCCAGCACAGTCCCTCGTGAGGTTGTAGGTCATGGCACACGTGCATACTAAAACATTTTGTATATATGTATAACTGCATTCATGCAGGGAAATGAAGTCGTCATGTGTATATGTATAAATGAGTATTTGTACGGTGTGTATACATGATTGTTTTTATTATATTGCACAAATAGACATGCACGTTTATGCATGTGTAAATACACCGAGTACATCCATATGCTCGGTTGAAGATTTGTGCGAGTCGGCATGTGCAGTTATATACTACGTATCGCATATCCATTTATAGTATATATTTATGTTTATAGCTTGTATCAATAAACTTCCTGGAGATAAGACTTTTTCACATATTTGAGAATGCGAAAACAAAAAATATGTATATTTAAAAGGCGCTCTTAGTTTAGTTATAATTGTGCGAAGAAGTAATATGAAATATATTTTGTTAGTCATGGCAAGTAGCCGCCATAATTTTGCGCAGATTAAATATCAATATCCCTCTTGTTTTTATAATGTATACATCTTTATATGAAGAATGTATGTGTTTGTGATGTATTGTATGTTTCATAGATGTCAAGTTTAGTTTATGAATACTTCTGTTTGATCTACGATGTATAGGCATACTTCTGTTTGATTCTATCGTGGTAGACGGCGTTGGTATTTGCTGTTTCAATGCACTTATCTGCGATGTATATGTATGTAGTGTCTGTTGGTTGGCAATCTGAGCATGTTTTCTGTTTTATTTCAGTTTCATGTTTATAATATGTGTGCTATACTTTTAAGGTATCTACAAATTTCTAGGTACATATGAAGTCATACGGACTGTCTTGTTTGCACTGCGTGACTTTGTTTTCTTTGGTACGTTTGAACTCTGCGGGATTGTATCGAATTCCTTGTTGCTGAAGTCTCTTCAAGTATTTTCATCGCAAATAAATGCATGTGTATATATATGCGTGTGTTTGTGTGTAAATAATGGATACATGTGTTTACAAGTTTTATTCTATATATACAGCACTATACACTCGAGTTGTTTCCATATTTTCATCGACGGTTTTGAGTGTCGCTTCCTTTAATTGTAGTAGCCCTGTCTCACAATACCCGAGCCCATGCGCTGTATTGGCGTATCGCAACTCGATCAAACTTGTACTACCAATCACACCACCGCATTCCCAACACAACTTCGTGCAGTTTTATGCAAGATCCTCCTATGGATGCACAACTATAGTTGCTCATGGGTCCGATTTATTTATTTATTTTATCTTCTGTGTTTGCTCTAGGTTTACGGTTTCTACGATGAATGCCTGCGAAAATACGCCAATGCCAACGTCTGGAAGTATCTGACAGATCTGTTTGACTATTTACCGCTTACCGCCCTTGTAGAGAACCAGGTACATATATGTATTATTAGGCGATTCGTTACGTATTGTCTGATACGCTTATTCACGCATTGCTCATTGCGATTGTCAGTGAGGTACATATTTGATTATGGATTCTATGCGCATATATTCGTTTGTCGTATTTGTATTGCTGCTGGGGTCTGGTAAGTAGTAGTTTCGTTCTGATTTTTATGCGCATATATTCGTCTGTCATTATTGTATCGCTGCTTGGGTCTGGTTAGTAGTAGTTGCTTGCTGATTTTTGGGCGTATTAGTCCGCTCGCTGTTATCGTATTGCTGCTGGGGTCTGGTTAGTAGTAGGTTCTTGCTGATTTTTGTGCGCATATGACCGTTTGTCGTAATTGTATTGCTACTGGATTAGGGTTAGTAGTAGTTGCTTGCTGATTTTTATGCGCATATATTTGTTGTCGTATTTGTATTTGTTTTAGTACTTCGTGCTGGCTCTTGCCCTAGTTGACGATAGGTCCCTTGTTCAGAACTTTCTCTCTGTTCACATAGTAAATTGGAACGCTTTCGCCATCTATTGGCGTATAATCTACTGTCGCATAGTGCAGCTACACTCCATACGGACTTCACTCCCCCCCCCCTCCAATATATATATATACATAACGTAGTTGCATCCTAGACTTCCCAGCGTGCATACACCCACTTCCCTTTCGCAGCGTTCCTCTTACGCGCTCTCGGACGCTGTGTTCCATCGCATAATCTACCTACATCCTCGTCTATCCTACCGCAGATCTTCTCTTTGAACGTATACTGTATTCATTTCCTACCACACTTCCACTGTCGCATACGCGTCATTCACCTACATCGTCTCTCTTCCCGTGTCTTGCTGCGCAGATCTTCTCTCTGCATGGAGGTCTCTCGCCCTCCATCGACACACTGGATCACATCCGGTCTCTGGACCGCATCCAGGAAGTGCCGCATGAGGGCCCTATGTGTGACTTGCTGTGGTCTGACCCGGATGATCGGTGTGGCTGGGGTATCTCGCCGCGTGGGGCCGGTTACACATTTGGGCAGGACATCTCGGAGACGTTTAACCACCACAACGGCCTGACTCTGGTCTCGCGCGCACATCAGCTGGTGATGGAGGGGTACAACTGGTGCCACGACCGGAATGTGGTGACTATTTTTAGCGCGCCAAACTACTGCTACCGATGCGGTAACCAGGCGGCGGTTATGGAATTAGACGATAGCCTCAAGTATACGTTGTAAGTCAAACTCCCGCGTGATGCCAGAGTGTTCATTGTGATGGGAGCGTGGGTGCTTGAATTTTTTTGCAGGGGATGTGAATGCGCACGCACAGCGCATATGCTTGCAATGGACCGTATCTATGTATTTGTTGTGTGGTACTTGGTAAGGCAATCCACTGTTTAGTGCTATTATGAATGTAGGTACGGGCTCACTTTTGTTGTTGGTAGGATTTCTGTAAGTGCGTCAGTCATGGTCTGGGGATTATTTCAGTGGAATATGATATCATGCGCAATGCGGCTAGTGGAACAAGTCAGCACAGTCGTACTTATATTCATTCTGATTGTTATATTGTATGATTTGTACCAACACAAATATCAACGTTTCATGGCTGTCCCATTGTATTCTACATATCCATCCGATATCATTTGCATGACAGTATAAGTGAACAGATTTGCTTAAATCGTATATTTTGAGTTAGGATGTGAGGCATGATTGAATTGTTAGTGCGAAAGTGTTTGTACCGTATCTGTATATTTTGCATGTACGTATGAACAGCATATATAGCTTTATATACCCAGCAACTGTATACATGTTTAGATATAGTTATATACCCGCAAACAAGAGTATTATGTTGTAATTACATACCATATTCTTACATATACTATCTATATATAGATATTATGTATGTATGTATCAATGTACCTATTTTGTTGCTGTTATCATCACCATATACAAGTAAATATACGTATACGTATACACATGTATGTATAAGTAGGCATGAACACGAAAAGGAATTTGGACAACTCGACAAATACTTGCATTTGTTTTAACATTTATAGAGGTAGATCAATGATCGTATGATCTCGTATGTGTGTTTTATATATATTTATTTATATATATATATTCTCTTACTCTGGAGAACTTGTTTCAGTATACGTTGTAAACAGACTATGCTTCGACTAGCTGTACATTGAAAACGTGGAGTAGTCGCTAAATGTACAAAGCATGTTCGTGTATCTGAATACCTATTTTGCTTCTCTGTATAGCAGATAATTGGCTAATGATGGTCATCCATTCGTCCAGGATACTCATATTTCGAGCACGCATGTGTATATATAGATAATTTTGCGTATTTTGGAATAAGTATCGTTTTATTCGTTCATATATACCTCCCAAGTTCAACATACATATGTATTCGCCCTGATGATATAGGATCCGCACATATCTATCGCATTTATATTTATTTATTGACGCGGCGTTGCTCGTAGTGCAAATTTGGAATCATCAATAACTTGCGTCTGTTTTTGGCAATATAGCTACGGATGTTTGTCAATCCGAGTCTTTTAATCTGCTTTTTTCTTTCTATCTATCTTAATGCAGCCTTCAATTCGATCCAGCCCCTAGAAAGGGAGAGCCTCACGTGTCTCGTAGAACACCCGACTATTTCTTGTAATCAAATAAAGAGTAATACGAGTATGCAGTCTTATAAATAAAAGTTTTGTCTGATATATCTTCTCTCGCATTTGTAATTTTTATCCGCGTGATCATCCCGTCCCGAGAGATGTTCTTATAATTTAATATTGTTCTTGCAAGTTGTAGGTGTAGATGTAAAGATAGTGCACCTTCGGCTATAAATTTGATTGGCATTCGAAAGAAAACTTTTATTTTTATGGATGAAAGTGTGTAATTTATTTTATAAAGGTGTGAGGAACTACGGTAAATATTTCACGCAGACAGCAAGGCCTCCTTGCGGTGCTCCCAGTATGCTCTGCGAATACCATCTAGATCCGACGAGAGTTTGTCGTACATATTAACCTGGATACATAGGATGGGCATAGTTCAGATGTACATAAATATTTATATTTATATTCATATGTATAGGTATATGCGTATGTGCATATATTTATATATGTATGTATAAGTATGTATATGTACATGTATATATATATATATATATATAAAGGTAAATATATATATATATATATATANATATATATATATATATATATATATATATATATATATATATATANATATATATAATATATATATATATATATATTTGTATATGTATGTATGTGTGTGTATGTAAGTTTGTATGTAAGTACATATGTATTTATTTATATATATATATATATATAATCGTATTTGAGATTTGAGGGCAGAAGATACATCCGTTACTACTGATTTGGTAGCGTCACATACATCCGCTCAGAATTATACAACCACTTTCAGAAACTGGCTTCTCGTGAGTACATATGACTGAGTTGAATAAACACGACAAATACTGTGGTCATCAATTGATACAAAGATCAAGCGTATGCTAGTGTGTGCATTATTCTACACAATGTATATGTATACCAATAGTATACATAGTTATCGCACACTTAACAATGATCCGGAATTGCTACATATATCATACCAATAGTATACATAGTTATCGCACACTTAACAATGATCCGGAATTGCTACATATACCATGCGCTACAATCTTACCGCTTCCTTCCGGCTCTCTTCCCTTCCCTGTGCGAATTCTTCTTCATATACTTTCGCCAAGGTAGCTGCCACGTACGGCGACCTGATACCTTTGTCCATCATCTATTACAGAGATGCAGCAAGCAATAGGAAATCGAGTTAGTATAGCACGGTGTCTGAGAATTGATTCTACATCAACCTTGAATGCACCCCCTTCGACTCGACCGCTAGATAATCCTATCTCTCACTACCTACAACACTGGTGTAGTAGGATCTCCCAGGTGTCTGGTATAGTGGGAAACCAGAGACCAGTTTATTTACAAGTATACAAAAGAAATGCAATCCTTATTACAAGGTGATGGCTTGCCGAACACGACATAGCACCAAGGTCAGGCCATAACATCTCAATTGTCTAAGAACCAAGCCAACTGACTTCCTACCGCGCAAGCCCGTTCTCGGTCAAGGGTGCACACAGTACACTGGTTTAAGAAAAGAATTCATAATGTGCGTACGATTGGGTAGCTCATGTAGTATACTGCTTTGTAAATAAATCTTGTACTCGCGCGCGAACGTGAACGCAGCCTCGCGATGAAGCATGACATATAGTCACTAAGCAAGTTTTGATACATGCCATCTGTATTCTGACCTCGAACGGTAATATATATATATAACAAGAATCTATACTACAAACAGTGAGATGCGACTCACTGCACTTCTCTACAAAATTGCACTTCCATGCGATGATATTGCACCCACCTCTTCTGCAAAGGTTTTCACCTCCGGTACGCTCGTCAGTTTCCCACAAAGCAGTGCACCCGTAAGGTAATTCCACGGACTTTCGTTATTGGGTGCGATTTTGATCTTATCGAGTGTGTAGACCACTTCTCTATCCATCACCTCGTTCGTGTAACCTGTAGGGAAGCCATATTTAGGGTTGAGATACACTTGCAATGAGATCATTTACACATTGTGTACAGCACAGAAATGAACACCAACTATTTCGAAGTAACGCTTGTAGAACCATTCGAAAAGATATGAGACACAGAGCTCGTTGCTTGATACAGGCCTATGAATTAAACACGCTGGAATAGAAGAACCTCGCGCGCACATTAGGGAAGAGACAAAATATGACGTACCTGTTGTGTTTGTTATCACGAAATGCCTATGATTCCAGGCAGAGTTGTTGCGCACGTCTTGATTGAGAAGAAGCTCGATATATTTCAACTCGTTGTCCCACTCGTTGAATTCTTTCAGCGCCCTGCGGTGTATCAAAGCAGAACAGAAAGGTAAGTCACCCAAGCGAAGCTGGGAAGCAAGCAGATACCAGCCGATACCATAGAGGTGACTGAAGCCTGGACCATTTGAGCATGTCGCCACAACGCAGCGTGAATACTCAAGTGCGCAAGCGACTGTGATAACACCCACACACATACATTGCAAGAAGCTTACATCACCAGAGGTGCCCACCTCATACCAACCACTCATCAGGGGAAGTGATATGTGGCACACACGCGCAAGCAGAATGCTACTGCCCATTATACTCGGTGGAATAACTTGTTGACATTCTGTATATCCGTCTATTGCATCAGGAACGACACATGAAAGTTTCAAAGCGGTGATTCTCCACGAGGTTGGGAGCACTGAGATGGATTCAGATGTCACTGCTCAAGGTTTGCAAGCTCGAACAAACGTATAGTAAGCTAGCGCTCCAACAAATGTATGGTAAGCTAGCACAGTTCAAGCTAGCACAGTTCAAGCTAGCACAGTTCGCCCATAAGTCACCGAGGCCACCATCCAGAACACCCACCGGGTGTGAATCCAACTGACAAGCGGACGTTTTCACAACCAAGTGGCCTAGGACTAGCTGTGGGCGTGACTCTCCACTGTGAGTGATGCCCGTGACTATGAATGTATGCGTAGCATACCATTGCCGATGTGTCCAGGCGTGGTAGTTCTTTGAGTCATCTTCCAGCAGTTCATTACAGTAGTCAATTTCCTCTGCCCCGTAGTTGAGTTGTTGTACCAGAAACCGACGGTGGTGCCAAATCTGATAATTCTTGACATTCTGGGCGCCCATATCCTATACACACGAACAGGACAAATTTGTATAGGCAGTCGTCAGCCCGCACAAATTACGAAACCCAACATAAACTCTCCAAACATTGCCGAGTGAACTCCGGAGAACCCTCCGCTAACATCCCCTGAGATACAATCGCACAGTAGATATTATAATCGAACAAAGCCGCATGAAGCCGATCCATGTGATATGAGGACTTGCATAACCTCACAGGACACTTAAACCTTACATACTGATGTGTAGCGAAGCTCGTTCCTCAGGTCCATATTAAGGGCGATCAGTATATCCCTTCTATACTGCCATGCGGTGTAGTTGGCTGTGTTGTGCGAAATAACGTCTGCGGAAGTAAACGATATAAGGTGTTTAGAAAGTAGATGCGCACAAGGTCAAGGCGATAAAGAATCTATCGATGGATAAGTGGCGAGGTCGCACACACGCTCATGAGATATTCTCAGACTACTTGGCTACAAAGTGAAACCTGGAACAAGGTAACAGAACCGTTTTATATATAAATATACATATATATATAAGTATAGGTATATATACATGTGTGTGTGTGTGCGTGTGTGTGTGTGTGTGTATGTGTGTGTGTGTGTGTGTGTGTGTGTGTGTGT